CCCGTGCTGCAGCCCATGCCACGCTTCCTGCCCACCCACCACCGTTCTTCTCTCCTCTCATAGTGCGGACGCAACGCTGAAAACTTCGACCGGTTTTTCACCCGCCACCCGCCCGTGCTAACGCCTCCCGACCAGGAAGTCGTCGGGAACATTGACCAGTCAGAATTCGAAGGATTTTCCTTTGTTAACTCTGAGTTTTTTAAGCCTCAAGCCAAGAGCTAAGTTGCTGTGCAGATCTCATCCCTGCATCGTCGGTTCCAGCTGCTGTTGTGGTGACATTCCATCGCAAAACTCGCATCCATGGGCTTGCTTTAGTGACCACATTTCCAGTGTCTTCATCCATGGGCTTGCTTTAGTGACCACATTTCAAGTGTCTTCCTGGTACTTGGGGTGTCACTGGAGGGGAGTGATATGCAGCAAATGCTGCAAGTGGACTTTTGTAACATTTTGTTTGTAGAAAATGGGAACAGCTCAGTGGGTGACAGAACGAAAACGGTGACACGGTGACAGCTGGGAGGAATCCCTTCATCATGTGCTTTAGTTCCTGCTCTTTCCTTTTTCTAGTGTTTTAAATAATCATGAAAATTTAATATTTAGCCTTCTTAGCCTTAGTGGCAGGTAAATGTTTTTAATGAGACCATTCTGAGTCTCTCTCCTCCCAAAAGCTCTGGAGAGCCAAGGTGCTGGTTCTGGCTCCTTTTCTGGCCATGTCCTGCTGGGTGTCCAGCCCCTCCACATCTCCCCTTCCCTGCACCAAGGCTTTGGGCCAGCTGGGTCCCCAGCAGTGGGATAAGTTATTTGGGAAGGCAGAGCTGCCGTTGGCAAAGATTTCTCCTGATTGTGCAGTTTCTGTAGCAATTTTTAAAATCAAAGCAAACATGCCGTGGTAAATGGGGAATTTGGAAGAACTGGTTTTGAATCCATGGTCACCCCAGTAAACACCACCAACATCCATTCCGTAGCGAAGCTTTTTCTTCTTTTCAAATGCCAAAGCCATTGGTGGAGTTTGTTACCTGTGCTTTAAATGTGTCAAAAATGGTATTGACCCAAACGGGAGATACTTAACTCTGACCAGTATTGTGAATTCTGATATGAAGCGTGTGAAGAAGCTTGTTACAACGGATAATTCTATCCTTAAAAATTGCTCGAGTTTTGTTTCTGGCATCAAAGGAAACATTTCAGGGAGGGTGAATTTCTCTTGAAAGGACAACAATCACGCTGCTTCCTTTTATACCCTTGCAGATGTTCGTGGGCTGTCACTGTATCAATCTGCTTGTTTTGTAATGTGCCAATTTATTTTTTTCTGATACCGGTTATAAAATAAAAGGTGAGAAAACCTGCCCCAGAAAGCTGCATGTGTTTGGCAGTAAGGAGTTTCTGCAGTCAGCGAGGGGATTCCTACCCACAGCCAGGGCTGGGAGCTGCCCTGGCTGCTGGGGGATGCTGCCTCAGGCTGCTGGGGGATGCTGGCCCGGTCACGGCGGTGGAGCCGGGCTCCTTCCTGCTCTGTTTGTCCCAAAAATCCCAGGTGGGATGTGCTGGAAGCATCATCCAGGAGGGAGCGATTGCCCACAGCCTCCTGCAGCAGCCCACGCTGCACAGCGCCTGCCCAGGCTCCAGCACGGCCAGGGAAGGAGCAGTTTGTGAGGATGAGGAAGGACACTCCGAGGAAGGACTCAGCTGAGGCTGGCAGGAAGGATGCTCTGAGGAGAGGACAAGGCTGAATCTGGCAGGAAGGACGCTCCGATGTGAGGACATGGCTGAGGCCAACTGGAAGGATGCTCTGAGGAGAGGACACGACTGAGGCCAGCAGGAAGGACACTCTGAGGTGAGGACACGACTGAGGCCAGCAGGAAGGACGCTCTGAGGAGGGGACACGGCTGAGGCCAGCAGGAAGGACGCTCTGAGGAGAGGACAAGGCTGAGGCTGGTAGGATGGACACTCCGAGGTGAGGACACGGCTGAGGCCTGCAGGAAGGACGCTCTGAGGAGAGGACACGGCTGAGGAAGGACGCTCTGAGGAGGGGACACAGCTGAGGCTGGCCCAGCGCTGGGGATCTCTGGCAGCACCTTGAGCGGAGCCGATGCAGCATCACCTCGCACTCCCCGAGCTGCAGAGCCTGGCGGGACTCATCCATCGCTGCCGCTCTCCCAGGAGCGCTTGTTGGAAGCCACTGGCACTTGCAGCTGAGGAGGGATTACGGGCTCCTGCTAACCTCCCTCCTGCCTCTGGGATCTGCCTCTGCCGAGCTCCATGGGTCCGGACACTGCAGGGTTGTTCCGAGAGGTCCCAAACATGGGCGGGAGCTGATCCCAACAGCCCTGGAGCTCTGCTGCAGGGAGGGGGCTCTGGGAGGATCCCAGTGCTCAGGGAGGATCCCCTTCCCAGGGGCCAGGCAGAAATGCTGCTCCGGGCCAGCTGGACCGGGCACAGTGCCAGGGGCACTGGGACCCCACCTGTCTGCCACGCCGTGCCACCACCACGCCGTGCCACCACCACACCACCCCGCTGTGCTCCTGGCTGTGCTCCTGTCACCTGCCAGAGTCAATTCGCCCATCGCTGGAGGCGCTTTCAGCCCTGATTGTCCCCTGCGCTCCCCTCTCTCCGTGAGACCCACACACCGTTCCCTGCCTGCTCCGGATTGTTCATCATCTTGACAGAGGCCAAATTGCCACCAGCTCAGGCAGAATTCAAGGTAAGACACCAGCATCCCGCTCTTTGCCGTGCTCAGCTTCCAGCCAGGGCCCCAGGGAGTGGGCGGCTGCTGGAGAGGGCAGTGCAGGGGAGTGGGCTGCCCTGAGCCCCCTCCTGGGCACACGGCAGCCTCTCCCCGAGCTTTGTGCTGCCAAAAAGCAGCAGCAGCAGCAGGTTTTTCCCACTCCAGGGCTCCCGGGCTGAACGTTCCTGAGGGCTGGGGACCATGGTGGCAACTTGCACCAGTGACATGTGGATGTGTCATTCCCTTTGCAGCACCCCAGAGCTTTCCTGCTCAGGAGAAGCTCCTGGCTTGGTGGGACAGTGCTGTTCTGGCCCACGATGGTTTGGATGGATGTGGCCTTCAGGAACCATGTGGTCATCTCAGAACTTTCCACAGAGAGACCCCGAGCACAGCCACACTGCTCTGCCCCGGAGCGCCCTGGGGACCCTGCTGCCATCGAGGTGGGCTTGTCCTCGCATTCCCACTGCTTCACCCTTTGCCTGCAGAGCTCTGCACCTGAAGTTGACCTGTCATCCTGCCTGCCCTTCCCTGCTGCCGCTCTGTGCCCCCAAATCCACATCTCCTCCCTCCTTTGTGCCTGGGAGAGGAGCCCTGCGGGACTCTGGCGCCCGGGGCCCTGCAGAGCATCGCCCTGACAGCACAGCCACAGCCTGCCGCTTCTCCTGCCTCCTCTCTCGGCTCCTTGAGCTCCATCCAGACCTGTTTTCTTCCCACCTCGTCTCTTCTCCGTCCTCCTCGGCTTTTCCTGATCTTCCTCCCTCCCCAAGGCTAAAGCCATCCTGATGGGATGTCTGCTGTGGCAAGTGGAATCTGCAAGCATCCCCCGAGGTCCTGATGCACTGCTGCCTCATCTGCACAGCTGCAGCTGGATTGGTGTGGTGCTCCTGGCCTGTCCAGGCTGGCAGGGAAACCTGGCTCTGTGTCCTGGCCGTGCTCCTGCTCGAGGCGGGAAGGTCCCCAGTGTCCCACTGGGCCAGGAGAGGCTGCAGGGAGGACACAGCATCGCTCCTGCCAGGTCCTGCAGCGGGGCAGCAGCGGGAGCTCAGCATGGGGAGTGGGGTGTAGCACCTGCAGGCCCCCACAGTTCCTTTCCTCAGTTCAAGCTGGCAGATTAATCCAGGGCTGGAAATCCTGGTGCAGCAGAGCACAGCGAGGGCCTGGCATGGCAGGTCCACGACACTTCAAAGGCAGAGTCTGGGAAAAATGGAAAACAAATGCAGGTTTCTGCAAGGCTGGCAGGATCCTACCTGTGTCACGCCAGGGGAAGGTCCCCTCCAGCAGGGAGCTGGGGTCTCTCCTGTATAGGGACATAGAAGAAGGGGAGGAGAAGCCTTTTGTCCCCGTTGGCTTTAGTAGCGAGGCAGAGCAGAGCCGGTTCCTGGCTGCCAGTGTCCCTCCACCCCGCTGGCTGTGGATGGAGGGCCTGGGGTGCTCAGTCCCCCTCCAGCCGTGGCTCTGTCACCTCCCAGAGCAGGACAGCCCTGAGCCAGGCGCTCTGTGATCTGCAGGGTTTAGAGGAGCAGCCCACGCACTCGCCGCGCTCCGCAGTGCTGATAGCAGGTTCCCAGTGCTAATCCTGACACTAACGTCCTTTCTTTCCCTTTTTTGGCTTGGGTGTAGCTGCAAGGTTGTTCTTCTTAAGAAACTGCAAGGAGAAAATGTTGCATATGTGGAATTTTCCTTCTCAGAGGTTTTGAAGTGCTGTGTGTTTTCTCTCTGTACAACCCTGGAGCAAATCACATCCTCCATCAATGAACCAGTGTTGGTTAACACCATATCACGGCATCATTCAAAAATCAAGCTTAGAGCAGAAAGAGCTCTTACAGCCGATTATTTTGTGCAAATTTTGACATGGTAGTGACTGTTCCTGCCATTTCAAGGCATGTTGCTTCCTCCAGGCTCCTTCCTCCTGTGCAGTGCCGAGCTCTGGTTGCAGTGAGGTTTCTGCATGCTGAGAACTGCTCCCTGCTCTCTCTCCCACAGCAGACAGGACAGGAGGGATGCTCCCTCCCCACCACGGCTCTCACCTGTCCCTCTTGTGTCCTGGTCCTGTGTTTCAGGCATGTTAAACTGGTGTTAAACTGGTGTTCTCTTCCTGCTGGTGGTGTGGGGCTGCTTCTGTTCTGCAGGGCTGTGAGTTGCTGCTCGGTGGCAGGAGTGTGGATGGCAGGAGTGTGGATGGCAGGAGTGTGGAGCTCCCACCGCTGCCACCGCCCCAGCTGCTGTCACCTCTGGTGCCTTGCTCCTTCCCCGCTTTAACTCTGTGCTTTCCCTTTAACAGAAGGACAAACGCGACACTTCCAACTTCGACAAAGAGTTCACCCGGCAGCCGGTGGAGCTCACGCCCACGGACAAACTCTTCATCATGAACTTGGACCAGAACGAGTTTGCTGGATTCTCCTACACTAACCCCGAGTTTGTCATTAACGTGTAGTGGCGGCGCAGCCCTGGCCTCGCCGGCCCACGCCAGGCCCTGTACATACGACTCTAGTCTTCCGGGGTTAGCAGTGCAGACACACGTCCCCTCCCGCCAAACTCGCCGGCCGCTTCTCCTCGGCGCCTCTCGTGTCCGTGCCACTCGCTAGCTTGGTTTCCCTAGCCGGAGGTGTCCGGGGTGCCGGTTACCGGTCAGTGATACTTCTAGGAACTGTAGTTGGTGGTGACTAATAGAGTTTTTAAACAGAAATATACCAAACTGCTACGGTCTCTGTAATTTTCGCAGCGGGACGCTGAGATCCCAGTGAGCCAGCTACTCCCAAAGCGTTGCTGTGGAATGCTAAGCATGGTTGATCGCTTAAAGCGTTGTGCTGAAGCTTGCGATGAGTGTGAGCTTGTCTTAGAGGAGCCTTTTGTTCAAGACATGGATATATTTGATCAGTGTGGAAAAATCTGCTTCTAGACCTCTATTTCCCAGCGCATTGTCCATAGGGTCAGCCCGGCCCCCACCAGCCGCCTTCCCTGCCTCGAACCACTCCCGTGCCAGTTCTTGTAAATCAGAGCAAACCTTTTTCTAAGTGTAAGCTGGGGGGTTTTTGTAACATCTGGAACAGTTTGCAGTTTTGATACGCTCTGTCAGCACTCGCATAAATCTTTCACAGACACTGTCGAGATGTAACAGCTCTGTAAAGGATATTAATATTCTACCAAAACAAAACACATTTATATTCTTGGTTTACAATTTGCCAACTGAAAACATGCCCAAGACCAAAGGGCTGCACTGAGGGCTATTTGTAACGGAAACTTTTCTACTTTCCACCCTCTGCTATTCTCTTCCAGGCTCCAAACCCATGAATTTCACAGACATCTTGATTTCCCTGATTTCCACCAAATTCCTGGGGGTTTTAGTCAGTAATGATTTTTAAAAAATTCTGAGTGAGAAGAGACAATTCCAGCAGCTGCTTGTGAGGCAGAGCCGTGGCGTGCGGGAGGGCAGGGGCAGGCAGGAGAGGCCAGCAGGGAGGAGGGGCAGGGGCAGGAGAGACAGGGCAGGAGCAGGCAGAGGAGGTAGGAACAGGGAGAAGAGGGCAGGAGCAGGCAGAGGAGGGCAGGAGCAGACAGGAACAGGCAGGAGCAGAGAGGAGCAGGCAGGAGCAGGGAGAAGAAGGCAGGAGCAGAGAGGAACAGGCAGGAGCAGAGAGGAGCAGGCAGGAGCAGAGATGAACAATCAGGAGTAGTCAAAGGAGGGCAGGAGCAGGCAGGAACAGGGAGAAGAGGGCAGGAGCAGGCAGGAACAGAGAGGAAAAAGCAGGAGCAGGCAGAGGAGAGCAGGAGCAGGCAGGAACAGGCGGAGGAGGCAGGAACAGGCAGAGGAGGCAGGAACAGGCAGAGGAGAGCAGGAGCAGGCAGAGGAGGGAGGAACAGGCAGATGAGGCAGGAACAGGCAGAGGAGGCAGGAACAGGCAGAGGAGAGCAGGAGCAGGCAGAGGAGGGAGGAACAGGCAGATGAGGCAGGAACAGACAGGAACAGGCAGAGGAGGCAGGAACAGGCAGAGGAGAGCAGGAGCAGGCAGGAACAGGCAGAGGAGAGCAGTTGCAGACAGGAACAGGCAGGAGCAGGGAGAAGAGGGCAGGAACAGGCAGGAACAGAGAGGAACAGGGAGGAGTAGAGAGAGGAGAGCAGGAACGGGCAGGAACAGAGAGGAACAGGCAGAGGAGAGCAGGAGCAGGCAGGAACAGGCAGAGGAGGCAGGAACAGGCAGAGGAGAGCAGGAGCAGACAGGAACAGGCAGAGGAGGCAGGAGCAGGCAGGCACTGCCCAGCTGGTGGGTGACTGTTGGGTTGGCAGAGGCTGAGCCCCAGGTGAGCGTCACCCAGTCCCTGTCAGCCCGCTCCCGTCACAGCCCAGAGTGGCTGGTTTGCAGAACCCCGGGTGTATTTCCTGAGCCAGCACTGCTTCTGCTGGATGCAGCCATTCCTCCAGGCCCCAGGGAAATGGGAGGGATTTTATCAATCATGAGGAATTCTATAGAGGAAACTCTAGTTTGTAGATCTTTTATAAACATGAAACTCTACCTTTGGAAATTATTTTTTTTTCTTTTATGATTTCTTGAGAACTAGAGGCTGCCAGCAGTAAGGCACTGTCCCAGTGCTGGGGGCCAGCTGAGTGTCCCCTCCCTGTCACCCAGCCACGGGCACTGTCCTGTGCTTGCCAGGGTGAGAGCTGAGCCCGCGGCCTCAGGTCCTGCCCTGGGCTGGAGGAATCCAAACCAAACCCAGAAAAACTGCAAATTGTGCCAGATCCAGGAGGGGCTTCACGAGGGGCTCTGCACCAGGCGGGGCCCAGGGGTCGGGGTGGTGGCTGGTGGGGGCTCCCTGAGCCCGGCACGTCCCGAGCCACCGTGCCATCCTCTGGACGTCGGAGCATGCGTGTCCCTGTCACCTCCCAGCCTGTTGCTGCAGAATTAGTGTTCCTTCAGTGGTGAATGTTTTTCATTTCCGTACCTTTGGCTCTGGAGGCGCTCCCGTGTCTGTCCAGGATGCTGCTGGAAGGTCTCGGGGCAGAGGGGCACCCCGGGGCTGTGGGCACGGTGCAGGAGCTGCTGCGGGGGAGTCACACCTTTTCTGTTTGGAGCTCTGTGTCTGTGCTGGGGTGACACTTGTGCATGGAGCAGGCGCTGCTGGACGCCGAGCAAGCCGGGTGGCCTTGGAGGGGACCTGCAGGGGAGCTGGGATGTGGCACCAGGCAGCTTTGGAGGCAGTTTGGGAGTGAGATCCACGCTCCAGGGCGAGCTCGGCCAGTGCCAGGTGCTCTTCTCAGGACTCATACCCTGAGTATTCCTGAGGCTGTCCATTCTGCTGCTTGCCAAACTCTTATCCGGGACTTATTCCAGATGACCTGTTTCTTCTGTGGAGGGACGTCCAGGGATGTGCCTGCCCTGCACAGACACTCAGATCTGTGTGGACTCCTCCAAGGAAGGGCAAAGTGACAGGGGTTGAGTCACTGTTGATGTCATTTGATGATTTCACCTTCCCTGTTGGATGGGAAAGCAGAGCTTTGGGAGGATGCTCTGAGCCTCAGCAGAGTCCTGGAGCCCAGGCCCCAGGTGCTCCACAGCTGTGTGGAGAACGCCCAGGAAATCCTTACCTGGGGGTGCAGGGGGGGCCTCAGCTCTGGTGTCCCCCCTGGCTTCAGTGGGACTGGCAGGGGGGACCCCTGTGGCAGAGGGGGACCCGGAGCCCTGGGGAGGGCAGAGGAGGGGCTGAGGAGGCAGGACATGCACAGGATGGCACATCCTGACTTTGTGCCACTGGGGTTGCACCCCGGTGCTCCAGGTAAGTGGGTTCAGGCTCTCAGCTGGGCTCCCCTGGGACAGGGTGGGCAGAGAGCTGCGCTGGGCTGGGCTGGGCCCTTGGCCCTGGTCTGGCAGCTCCAAAAGCTGCCCTGCTCCCAGTGCCACTCCTGCTGTGCCGCTGTCCCCTGGCGGGGCTCTGAGCAGCCCTCCCGGCGTGAGGCCCATCAGCAAAGGAGCTGCCATCGGGTCCATCCGTTTAATAAATGTAATTAATAAATGAATGGGAGTCCGCGCAGTGGCCAGCCCCTGTAGGCAGAGGGAAGATGAGTGCAGGGCAGTCGGTGTGCTCGGGTGGGTGAGTCCAGAGCTGCAGCCCAGGGAGGAGCCGGGGGATGCGAGCTCAGGCCACGAGGATCCCGCTGCTCCCAAAGGCCGGGGCGCACCGGGAGGGCGCAGCGTGACCGCCGCCTCCGGCTCCATGCATGGGAGTGTCACCTCAGCTCTTTATTTCTGATCACATTCAAAGTGGCAATTAAAACAAGGAGGGAAAAAAAAAAAAAAAGAAAAAAAAAAAAAAGAGAAAATGTTTATTGTTGAACAGTTTGTGTTTGTGAATTTGATTTCACCTGCAAGTATTTGATGACTTTTCTACATCCTAGACTACCTGCTGTGTGTTGTCAAACGGTTCTCATGAAGACCTCCTTTTAGATGGGCATATACTCTTGATTCAATTTGCTGCATGTATGAAAAAATAAAATATTTAATTTTAAAGAAACCCTGGGAGTTTGGTTTCCTTTTTCACGCCGACCCGGGGTCCGGGCATGAGGGGCGGGGGTGTCCTGGGGGCCGGGTCCCCCGGAGGGGCCGCACGGAGCAGGAAATGCTGGGAAGTTCCAGGGGTTTGGCCAAACAGCTGCCCAGATGTGCCTCTGGGGCCGGTGGCACGGGGGGCTGCAGCGCTGGGCACGGGGGGCCGGGACCCTCTGGGTCCCCCCGCGGCCGCAGGGGCTCCGGGGCTGTGGGGGTCCCCGCAGCCTCTGCCCGGCCCTGCCTTTCTCCATCGAGGGGCTCCATGGGGTAGAAGTGCCCGTGTGGAGCGGGTGAGTGTCGGGGAGGGTTCTCCCCCTGGCTCTGGGGACGTTGGCTGAGCTTTCTGCAGAATGCCCTCTTCTCTGCCAGCCCTGGGGCTGGTGCCCACCAGGGACACCTCAGTTCTCCTGGGGTGGGACACCTGCCTGGCTCAGCCGGCCCTGGCACGCCCTGGCATCTCCTCCGGGCTGGGCAGCCCTGGCGGTGCCCCGAGCCCCAGCCCCTGCTCTGCCCCAGCCGTTCCAGGGGGCTCCCCCGGCCCAGGAGTGGGATTTGGGGTGCCCGGCTGAGCCCCTGCCCGGCCTCGCCGCTGTGCCCGTTCCCTTGGAGCGCTCCCGAGCTTTGCCTCTCCTGCCTTGTGTAAGTGAAACGTTTGGTTTTGTGACACTTTCCTTAATTATGGGAGCTAATGACAAAGCCATTGTGACAAATGACTCAGCTTTTGATAGTGAAGTTAATGAATTCCGAAGTTCGAGCCTCCATGGGCGTATCTGGAGCCGCCCGATGAGGAAGGGCCCAGCGTGGAGCAGGAGCCCGGCTCCCCGGGACCACCAGGTACAACCCTCCCACCCCTGGGAAGGAGCATCTGCCCCAGCGAGGGGATCAAAGGCCCCTGTGGCATCCTGGTGCCTCCCTCCGGACCCTTCCCTCCATCCATCAAAGATCCAGGGAGCACTGCCTCATTAGTGCTGGACTGGGTGACCAGGAGCAGCTCTGCATTGGGCGCTGACCTTCAAGAGTGTCTCCCTGAAGCCATCTTTCATCTCTTTCATTTGCATTACAATCCTGTTTGCCTCATTATTCCTTATCCACTTCTTCTTCAAAGGATTTAAATCAAATCAATTAAATTGTGGCAGGCTGGAGCAGCAGAGAACCTTTCCTCGTGGCTCAGCGTGGTCCGGCTGGACCTGACTACAGAATGGGTTTAATCTTCTGCTGTTTGTTCTTTTATTGCTTCTGGGCTACCAGTGCCCACAGCTGCCTCTGTTCCTGTCCATCCCTGCACCCATCCCATGCAGACACACTCCACGTACAGCCGCTCTTTGCCTGACCTTGGGAAGGGATTCTCCTCAGGAGGAGGGGGAGCTGCTGGCCTGGAGCGGCTGTGGGGCCACGGGCACTGCCCTGATAATTGCTGTCCTGGGCCATCCCTTTCCATCTCCTCTGCTCGTTTTGTCTGCCCAGGGATTCAAAGGATCTGGAATCATTCAGGTTGGAAATGCTCCCTAAGCCCATCGTGTTCAACTCCAGCACTGCCGAGGCCGCCGCTCACCCCTGGTCCTCTGTACCACATCTGCACGGCTTTAGGTCCCTCCAGCTGTGGGGACTCTATCACTTGGCAGCCCTTTCAGTGAAGAAATTTCCCCAAATATCCAGTTTAAACCTCCCCTGGTGCAAATCGAGGCTGTTTCCCCTTGTCCTGTCCCTTGTTCCCCGGGAGGAGACTGAGCCCCACTGTGCCCTCCTGTCAGGGAGTCAAAGCGTCAGCACAGAGGGGAGAGAACGCTGAGGAACATCCCAAATGTGGGTAAAACACCCGGATCTGGGCACCAGCTGCTGGAGAGTGGTCGCCCGGCCCCGGAAGATGCGTGGTGCTGGCCCACACACGGCCACCCCTGCTCCCTCAGCCTCTCTCAGAATAAAGAGCTTAATCAGAATGGATTTCTGTTCCTCCCCTGCTATTTTTATTGCTACTCAACTGTCGGAAATCCAGCAGGGAGAGCAGAGCTGGGAGGGAATTGCACCAGCTCGTGCCACGGGCCCTCGGCTGTGGCACGTGTGGCATCGCTGGCACCCTCCGCACCCAGGGACAGCCCAGCCCCGCCACTGGGTCCTGCTGGAGCCAGGGGATTGCAGCCAGCGCTGCCAAAGCAGGCAGATATAAATAATCCCCTCGTAGGAGTGGGGAAGGATGAACACATGTGCCGAAGGCTCTGGAGCCCTCATCCCCTGGCAGCCCCCGGGAGCAGGAAAATGAAGTGAAGGCCAGGCAGGGCTGGAGCATCTCCCGCTTCGCTAACGACCCAAACTCGCCTCAGATCAGCCTCTCTTCCTTCAAGGAAAAACCCAATCCAGCTAGGGATTATTTCTGACTGCTTACTTCCTGTCACTTTGCCAATTTAAATGCAGCAGAGCTTTCATCGCTGGATTTGGGAGGACAAAGCCTAACAGATCTCGGGTTAGGACATTTTTGCCTGCAAGGACAGCTTTTTTCTTGCAAGAGTTGTACAGTCTTTGCAGCGTGGGCTGGATTTTTTTATTTGTTTCTACTTTGCCCAGCGCAGTAGGGTCCAGGTCCAGGAGCAGGAAGATGAGGATGGACAGGGCAGGGAACAGGAAGAGGTGATGGAGCTGGAGCTGGAGCTGGAGCTGGAGCTGGAGCTGGAGCTGGAGCTGGAGCTGGAGCTGGAGGAGCCCAGGCTGCCCTGGTCAGGGGGCCAGGCTGTGACCCTGCAGTTTGAGTTGCAGATCAGGACACCAAGGTCACCAAATTCTCATTGGTCCCAAATCCCAGTGAACCCCTGGGGAGGCCAGAGCCCCGAGCTCGCTCCTGGAGCTGACACTCCGTTCGTGGAGCAGCGAGAGGGCTGCAGGGGTGTCCCCAGCTCCAGCCCCACAGGGGCCAACACGATCCAACATGGACTTTGCTTCTGTTTGAGCTCGCTTTGTTCAAAGCCTAGGAAACGGTACATGTGCACTCTGCTCACACCTACACACGCTGTGTTAAAATAACACAATTAAGGCTGCAAAATCCCCCACTCCCAACGCAATTTGCAGCCCCTCAGCTGTGGGTGGGAGATATCTTTGCTGCCTCTGCGCAGGCCGGGGGCCGGGCAGGGTGCTGGCGTCAGGCGCTGCCCCACGCGCCGCTGGCAGGCGGGGGCACGGGCAGGGCTGGCAGGGCTGGCAGGGCTGGCAGGGGCACGGGCAGGGCTGGCAGGGCTGGCAGGGGCAGATGTCCCACAGAAATTGGCCTTCCCCTGTGCTTTCTCCTGTGTGGTGCCCACGGGATTGCTCAGGAGCAGCAGCTCAGGAAAAGCACAAGAGCAACTTTTTACACAGGCAGGTAATGACAGGACAAGAGGGAACGGCTGTAAATTAAAAAAGAGGAGATTCATATTGGATACCAGGAGGAAGTTCTTCCCTGTGAGGTGGCACAGGTGCCCAGAGCAGCTGTGGCTGTCCCTGGATCCCTGGCAGTGCCCAAGGCCAGGCTGGATGGGGCTTGGAGCAGCCTGGGACAGTGGGAGGTGTCCCTGCCCACGGTGGGGTGGGACTGGAGGGGCTTTAGGATTCCTTCCAGCCCAAACCATTCCAGGTGCTGTGGCTCTGTGACCGGTGTCCCAGTGCAGCCATGCCCCAGACTCGTCCCAGTCTCCAGTCTGTGACACCAAGTTGTGACCTGGAAACCAACGTGTGCCCCTGCCAGTGCCGCTCCCCAAAACTGAGAGGCGATAACCCCTCCTCCAGAAATGCCCAGGAAGAGCCCTGCGATGCAGCGGGGTGGGTGCTGCTGACCCCAAGCCCTGCTGCCCACCTCGCCCTCCTCGGAGGGCTGCGTCCCCTCCCAGCCCCGAGCTCTGCCGCTCCCGGATGGAAGCGGGAGCCGGGGCTGTGCGCCCGGAGAGCCCGGGCAGAGCTGCGCCGCCTCCAGCCGGAGCGGGGAGCCAGGCAGGGCCCGTGGGGAAGCAGGGGATGAACCGGGGGGATCCATCCACAGCCAGGAGGCAGCGGGGAGCCGGGCGGGAGCGCGGCGGGGCAGCAATCAGCGCGCCCTGCCTGGGGAGCAGCACAATCGCTGATTGCAGCTTCAGGAGCTGCTTAATTTTCGCATTCTTAATTTCTCAGTACCTTCATAATTCTCTGTTTGCCTCTTTGGAGTAAATAACTAGTATTTCCATGTGAGTGCATGCAGATGAGGGCTGGGGAAGCACGCGGCACCGCGTAAATCATTCGCTTTGCCGTCTCACCGGGGCCCTCCCAGCGCCGTGAATTCCAGAGGTAAGTGTGTTCTAGGGCTTGGCGGAAAGGTCGCCGGAGTCCCGGGCTCATCCAGCCGGCTGAGGGATGTTTCAGGGAGATGGAGACAGCGGAGAGGGAGAGGGCAGGGGGCTTAACTGCTGGGAACGGCGCAGGAGGGGCTTGTGGGTACCGGGGCTGTTCAGGCTGAGCCAGCTCCTGCCAGGGACAAACACCGGGGTGGACAGCTCCGTGCCAGCGGGAGCCGGTGCTGGGCCCTCCCTGGGCTCCGTGTGTGGCTGCGCGGCCCCCAGCCCCTTGTGCCAGTGCCACCGGTGCCCGGTAGCGGTGCAGCAGCTCAGGCACCGAGCAGACTGATCCGGGGGGATCAGGGAACCGAGCGGCCCCATGCCGGGGCTGCTGCGGGTGGGTGACTGTCCCTGGGCGGTTCTGGCACTTCGAGGGGACTTCCACCCGCTCCATGTCCCAGGACAGTCCCCGTCCGGCCGCAGAATCCCGGCGGTCCCCGGGGCGGTCTCGGTGCCCCGGTCCCCGCTCAGTCCCGGCACCCAGCGGAGGGATCCCCCCGCCCAGTCCGGGTTTTCCTGTAGGGTCTCTCCCCACTTCTCCCGTGGCAGTGGCGATCCCGGCATCCCGGGGTGGGGTTCCCGGGGCAGTCACGGTCCCCGTGCCCGCCCAGTCCCGGCACCCCGGGGTGGGTTTCCC